ACGCGGTCGAGAGCACCTGCTCGTCGAAGATGCGGTCCAGGCCGCCGCCCTGGCTCCGCCGGAAGTTGGCCACGGCGACGTTTTGGAGGGCCTCGCGGCCGACCAGGCGGCCGTCGCCGTCGACGTAGTCCCGCAGCGCGACGTCGACCGCGCGCCGGTAGAGGTCGCCGACGGACGTCGGCATCTCGCGCGTCGCCGCGCCCTCGAGCACGAGGATGAGGAGCGACAGGCGCACGGGCGTCTCGCAGATGCTCGCGTAGACGGACATGGTCTTGTCCAGGAAGTCCTCGAGGTTCGACCCGAGGCCCACGCCGCTCAGCTCGCGGCGGAAGTACTCGTAGTGCTCGTGCGCGCGGCTCTCCTTGTCCCAGCTCGCGATGGCCGAGAGGTGGAGCTGGATCTCGGCGATCTGGCTGAGCTCGACGCCGTCCGAACTCTCGCGGACGCGGACGTTGCAGAGGAGCTGGCGGTTGTGCGTCGGACCGGGGGACGCGAACTTGTTCTTGGTCCGCACGAGCTCGAGGCCGCCGACGCCCCGCGCGAGCAGCCCGTGGGCTTCGACGAGGCCTATATAGGCCGGGTAAACTGCAAGGCCCTGTCGGTGTTCTCTCTCAGTGAGCTCGCAAGCTGTATCTCTGCAAAATACCAAGTAGAGGGGCTCGCGCGCTCGAAAAACTCGCGAGCAACGAGCGCGCGCGCACATCTCTTTCGGGGGGCGCTCCCAGGCGCACTGGACACGGGGCTCGACTCGGGGCGTCGTCGAAGAGGAGCGTGGCTCGCAGGACGTCGACGACGTTGGCCGTCGCGAGTCCGCCGTCGTCGTAGTAGCCCTCGTAGCCCTCGCGCTCGTCGTGCGCCTTGGCATAGATGCGGACGGGCTTCTTGAGCGGCCCCAAACGCACGCGGTCCGTCTCGCGGCCGCTGGGCTTGGGCAGGTTCAGGGCCTCCGCGAGCTCCTCGAGGGCCCGCCGGAACGGCGCGCGGAGCCGCTCCGCGACGGCGAGGAGCTCGTCGCACTCGGCGATGATCTCGCGCCAGAGGCCGCCGCCGTCGGCGCCCCCGGCTTCGGCGGCGAGCTCCTCGACGGTCTCGTCGGCCCACTCCTGGCGGTGGTCGTAGGCCGCGCCCGGCGGCGGCCGCGCGCAGGCGAGGAGCGCGAGGCGGTCGTCGAGGCCTCGGAGCGTCGCCGACGCCGCCGGCGCGTCGCGGCGCGCGACCAGGGCGCCGCCGAGGCCCCGCTGGCGCGCCTCGGGATCTCGACGGCCTTCGCGCAGGAAGAAGGCGTCGCGGCTCGCCAGCTTTTCCAACGCCTCCTGCTGGTCCTCGGGCACGTGGCCCCAGAGCGCGTCGTGGCGCAGGCGGACCTCCGCAAAGGCCGCGAGGCGCTGGAAATACTCGTTGTCCTCGACCTGCTGGCGGATCGCGAGCGCCTGGGCCTCCGCGTCGAGCTTGCGCAGGCTGAGGAGGACGAAGGACGGCGCGTAGCGCTTGGCGTCGATGGCCTCGGGCCGGCTCGTGACGAGGAGCCGGTGGCCCAGGGGCACGATCTCGCGGAAGATGAAGTTCTCGATGAGCGCCTTGAGGTCCGCGGCCTCGTCGATGCCGTCGACGATGACGCAGAGCGTGCGCTGCTGGAAGCACTGGAGCAGGGCCGCGCACGTCGCGGGCTGGTCGCCGAACTTGATGCGGATGAAGGCCTCGACGAGGTGGACGAACGCGCTGCCCTCGGCGACCTCGTCGCGGCGGCTCCGGATGAGGTGCGCGAGCTCCTGGACGTAGATGACGAGCGGGTAGAACTGGCCCGCGGGGTCGCCCGTCTGCACGGCCTTCGCGGCGGCGCAGGCGATCTGCTTCGTCATCCAGGACTTGCCCGTGCCCGCCTCGGCCATGATGAGCACGGGCTGCGCCGCGGCCTCGCCCGCGGACCCGTCGCCCTGCTGCGGCTCCGTGAGGAGCGCGACGAGGTCCGACGACCGCCGCGCGTCGCCGTAGCGCTCCGCGGCGACGCCGCCGACGCCGTCGCGCTCCGCGAGGCCGATGTGGAGCGTCTGGCGCAGCGCGTGCAGGTGCTTGCCCGTGATCGCGTCCTCGACGAACTCGTTCTCGAGCGCGACGGCGCGCGCGTACTCGCGGAGCGCGGACACGAGGTGCGCGCGCGACATGCGAGCGACGCTGTGATTGAAGGCGTTGAGATCCACGGGCTCGTCCTCGTCCCGGTCCTCGAACCGCACGACCGCGGGGCGGCCGCCGCCCGCGGCCGACACGACCAGCGCGTCCTCACGGAGCCGCGTCGCCGGGTCGAGCACGAGGAGCCGCTGCCCCGGCACGTAGGCGTGGCTCGGCGCCGGCGTCGCGTTCCGCTGGAGCACGGGGTTCAGCAAAAAGGCCTCCGGACCGAGAGCGCCGGAGCAGAGCGACCGCGCGGCCTCGGAGCTCTCGGGGACGCCGCCGCGGAGCCCGTGGTTGTCCACGCGGAAGGCGTAGAGGCCGCTCCGGGTGTCGAGGCCCACGACGGTGCCGCTGGCGCCAATGGACCCCGCACCCCAGGCGTGTTTTCCCGGCCGCAGGCGCAACCGGTGGCCCAGCGCGCAGGCGAGCGTCTGCGGCGGCGCCCGGACGCGCGCGGTCGCGGCGACGGAGCGGACGTCCGCGTCGTCGACGGCGGGGAACGTCGACGCGAGGAGCTGCTTGAGGTGCTGCTCGAGGCCCTTGGGCGCCTGCTCCTTGCTGGCGGCCGCGACGCGGAGCTGCGCGAAGGTCGCCTCGCGCCGCGTCTCCGAGTCGACCCAGGTCCCGTCGTCGCCGCGCGCGACGCGCGTCGCGGACCGGACGCTGACGACGTCGACGGCGAACCCGGGCCACGTCGAGACCCGGGCCGGCTGCCGCTTCTTGGCGGCGTAGGCGATCGACAGGTCCTCGAGCCAGTCCGAGCTCCGCAGCACGGCCTTGGTGTTGTAGAAGCGCGCGTCCTTGTACGCCGCGCCCGCGCGGACCTCGCCGACCGCGACGCGGCGCCCGTCGACGTCGCGGACGAGGAGGTAGAAGCCCCGGTCCGCCGAGGGGGCCACGAGGCGGTGCCGCGCGTCCGAGATCTGCTTGCGAGAGATGCCCGCGAGCGTAAAGTACGCGCCCGCCGCGGCCGGAGCCAGCGGCCACCCGAGCGTCGCGCGGATCGCCACGTCGTGCGGAGACGGCGGCCGGCCGGGGTACGTGGACCGCGGGTTCGTCGCCGAGGGCCCGAACTCGAGCGCGTAGGGGAACCGCGTGCCGCCGACGGCCGCGACGGCCGCGTCCCAGGACCCGGGCGTCCCGAGCGACCGCGGCAGCGGCGTCGGCGCCGCGTCGCACTTCCAGACGCTCTTCGTGAGGTCCACGTCCCGCGAGTCGCCGGCCGTCCCGACGACGCGGACGCCGTGGACCGAGCCCTCGGCGTCGCTCGCCGGCGAGCGGACGACCTCGCAGAGCACGAACTCCGCGTCGACGCTGAGCCGCAGGCGCTGGCCGACGGCGAAGCGCACGCTCGTCGCGTCGCCGTAGGCCGACGCGCCGCCCTCGAGCGCCCAGGCCGCGCGGAGCCGCTGCTTCGGGAGCCACGCGCGCAGGATGCGGAGCGTGTCGCGGACCTTGTGGAGCTTGGCGAACGAGCCCCGCTTCTCGCGGTCCTTGCCCTTCGCCACGCCCTCGCCGCCCACGGCCTCGATCGCGGCCTCGATCGCCGCGTCGAGGGGCACGTCGTCGGGCGCGTCGAGGGGCGCGGCCGGCGCCGTCGCGACGACGCCGGCGCGGGGCCGCGCCTCGCCTTCCCGCTCCGCGTCGGGCCGCCGCGGCTCTAGTTGTTCAGGCGCGTCGGCGCGCTGCGGCGGCCGCGGCTCGGAGGTCTTCGCGGACGCCGCGGGCCGCCGCGGTTCGCCGAGCTTCGCCGCCTTGGCCGCCTGGTACTCGGCGAATTTGCTCCGCCACTGCTTCTCCTCGTTGACGGCGACGCGCGACTCGCGCGTCTCGGCGCGGGCCGCGAGGCGCTCCGTGAGCCGCGACCGTCGCTCCGCCTGCTGCCGCGCGAAGTCGTCGGACACGGTCATGCGGGCCTCCATCTCGTGCATGACGAGGAGCTTCATCTCCGCGGCGAAGCGGTCGTCGCGGTCCGCCGCCGGCCGACCGTCGGCCGTGAGCGGGTCGGCCTCGTCGTCGTCGTCGGCCGCGCCGTCGTCGCCGTCGTTTTCCAAGGCGTCGGCCTCCTCTCCGCCGCCGAACGCGGCCTCGTCCGGGTCCGCCTCGGGAACGTCCCCAGCGTCCGCGACGTCCACGTCCTCAGCTGCCGCAGGCGCCGGGGCCAGCGCGGCGATTTCTTCGGCACGGAGCGCCTCGAGCAGATCCGTGCGCGCCGCGAAGAACATCGCGCTCCACGCATCGTCCCAGCTGCGGCCTGCGTTCTCGCAGAGGCGCCGCGCCTTCGTGAGCGAGACCTTGTCCGCCTCGCCGGACAGCACGCTGCCCATGCTTGTTTTAGGCGACTACTACTGCGCAACTCGCCGGCGCTGGCCGTGGCGGCGCGGCGCGGCTGCTCGAGGCATCTCGATCCATCGTCGATGCGCAACCGAGAGCACTTCACGATGTCCTCAATAATGCGTGTTTGAATTTCAATTGTTTGCGGGATAGGGGCACACTCCTTCCGTGAGCTCCATAACGCCATGGGCGCCAGCGCGAGCGTCGACCAGGTGCAGATCATATGCAGCAACGTGGAGCGGGCCGTGCCGCGAACGCCAGCAGGCGACCGCGACGTCAAGAATTGCGATCGAACCAAGCTCCAGGAGGAGATCTCCCGTGCGGAGAGGGAGGTCAAAGCGTTCTACGATGCGGCGTGGGAAAGCTGCGTGGCGGACGATCTGCTCGCGGCGACCGCTGAGCTCCAGGATGAGTTCTCGCCCGCGGACCCGCCGCGGTGCGCGCTCCCGCAGGGAGCGACCGTCGAGGCGCTCGTCGCGCTGGCCAGCGAGCGCGCCGAGGCGATGCACGCGGCGCTCGAGCAGCCCGTCAAGGAGTCCGGCGGCGCCTACTTCCAGGGCCCGCGCAAGGGCACGCTGCGCATCAAGGAAAAGGCCGAGGCCGACTACGACGGCGACGTCGCGCGAGTCGTCGACGTCGAGCGCGCGACCGGCGTCTACGGCACGGCGAACGACTTCAACGCGGCCATCTCGAAGCTACGCGCCGCGGCGCGCGGCGAGGAGCTGAGAATCCTGCGGTGCAAAGACAATCTGCGGGGCGGGACGTCGGGCTACCGCGACGTCAAGCTCAACGTGGATGTGGACGGCTTCGTCGGCGAGCTCCAGCTCACGTTCCAGAGCATCAAGGAGATCAAGGACTCGGGCGCGCATCAGGTGTACGAAGTCCATCGGGTCCTCGCGGCGAGCGGCGACGACGACGCGCTCGCGCGGGCCCTCGACGGCCCGGACCTCGAGAGCGAGCAGATGCTGACGCTCGCGTGCGCGGACGGGAGGAGCGTCATGGACGCCTGCGGCTCCGTCGCGATTTTGGAGGCGGCGCTGGCAAAGGCCCTGCCGCCCGGGTGCTGCGTCGCCAACGTCTACCTCTGGCGGGGCCGCGCGCGCGTGCGCCTCGGCATCGACGACGTCGCGGCCATGGCCGCGCTGCGCGACGACATCCTTCTGGGGAGCGGTTTCGAGGAGAAGCTGAACGGGGCGTTGCTGCGCTGGCGGCGCGCTGCGACGGATGGCGAGTTGCCCGGGCTTGGCTACGTGAAGCTCGTGACAACATCCGGCCGCGAGTTCTACGTCCACGAGAACGAGGCCCAGTTCGAGCGGCCGACGGTCCCGCTGCCGGCGAGCAGGCGGCCGGCGACGGACGAGGAGCTCCCGGGGCTCGGCTATGAGAGGCTCGCGACAACATCCGGCCGCGAGTTCTTCGTCCACGAGAACGAGGCGCAGTTCGAGCGGCCGACGGTCCCGGTGCCGGAGAGCAGGCGGCCGGCGACGGACGAGGAGCTGCTGGGGCTCGGCTACGAGAAGGAGGACCTCGTCGACGGCCGAGAGTTCTACCGCGGCGCGAAGCAGGGGCTATGGGAGCGACCGCTCGTTGCCGGGGACGTCGTGCCGCTCCGCTGCGACAGCGGCGCCTTTCTCGAGTGCTACGCGAGCAGCATGATGCGCTTTACCAAGCTCACGCGGCACCAGCGCGAGAAGCTCGGCGACGTGCGCGCGGCCCAGTACGCGCTGCTCCTGGCGCCCGCGGGCGGCGGCAAGACGTTCGTGGCGATCCAGCGCGCGCTCGAGGTCCTCCACGCGAACCAGATGGTGCTCTTCGTCTCGAAGAACAGCGCGCTGGCGCTCTTCGTGGTCAAGTGGCTCGTCGTCGCGTCCCGGACGTCGGCGCTGCGCGTCGCCGACCGCGTCCGCGTGCTCGTCGCTCCCTTTGATCGCGGTCCGCTCGAGATCCGCGTCGAGGAGGCGGACGGGCGGCAGCGCCTGGCCATCAGCGACCGCGTCGTCGAGGCGGAGCGCTACGGCCTCGCGGTCGTGGACGAGGCGCACCACCTCGCCGGCGACGTCGGCGCGCGCGAGGCAGTTCGCGGCGTCGCCGCCGACCGCTACCTCTTCCTCGGCGACGCGTCGCAGGCGACGTCGGCCATGGACGGGGCCGGGCTGGTGCGATCGATCGCGGACGTGCCCGAGTCGGCCGAGGTCGCGACGGTCGCGCTCGAGGAGGTGGTCCGCTCGACGAAGCGCATCGTCGCGGGCGCCGCGGCCTTCCAGCTCGAGGCCGGGGGAAAGGCGGCGACGCGGGGCCATTCGGCGTCCGTGGGCCCGCCGCTCGAGGCGCGGCTCTTCGACGGCCACCGCATCCAGCACTACGCGCGGGAGGTGGACGCGGCGATCGACTCGATCCGACGCCAGCTCCACGGCATGGACCTCGACGACCGCGTCGCCGTCGTCTGCCCCGACGCCGGCTTTTGCGAGGAGCTTCGTGTGGCGCTCGCCAAGCGGCTCGGGCGGAGCTTTGAAATCGTCGACGCGGCGACGGCGAGCGCGACGCTGCCGCGCGACCGCAACGAGCGCGAAGGGTCGCCGGCGTGGCTCGTCGTCGACACCGTCGACAACATCGACGGCCTCGAGCGGCTCGTCGTCGTCTGCGCCGGGCTGGACCACGCCATCTCCGTCGACGACGCGTCGGCCCTCGAGACGCGGTCGCGGCTGTACCGGGCGCTGACGCGCGCGCAGCTGGCCGTCGCGGTGGTGAACCACCGCGTGCCCGGCGGCTGGCTCGAGTTCCTCGGGCGGCTGGAGCTGGGTGGGGCCTTCGACGAGGAGCGCGAGAAGCTCGACCGCTCGGAGACGACGGCGGACGACGTCGTCGCGTCGTGCGCGGCGGACGAGGGCGGCGAGGGCGTTCGCGAGGTGCCCGTCGCCGGCAGCGAGGGCGTTCGCGCGGTGCCCGACGCCGGCGGCGAGGGCGCGGCTTTGGAGCGAGAAGAGGACTCGAGCGCGGCGGAGCAACCGGCGGTCGGCGACGGCGGTGGGGACGTCGCGGAGACGGTCGTGCGGGAGAGCCCCGCGGCGGCGGCGCCAAAGGTGAGCCAGTCGATCTGGGACACGAGCAGCTGCGTGACCGTGGATAACAGCGCGGAGCTGCGATTCATGCCGTTTTCGATGGTCGTGGACCTCTCGAAGTTGGCCGAGCTCACGACGCTGGCCGGGCATTCGGGAGCGGTGTGGCGCGGCGTCTTCTCTGCCGTTTTTCTTGTATGATCTTCCTGGCTTTTAGGTTCGGGACGTCGCCGTCTTCCCCGACGGCCGGCGCGTCGTCTCCAGGTCGGGCATGACGCTCAAGGTGTGGGACGCGGCCACGGGCGAGTGCGTCGCGACGCTGGCCGGGCATTCGGGCTGGGTGTGGCGCGGCGTCCTTGTTCTTTCGGGTATGAACTTCCTGGCTTTTAGGTTCGGGACGTCGCCGTCTTCCCCGACGGCCGGCGCGTCGTCTCCGGGTCGGCCGACGAGACGGTCAAGGTGTGGGACGCGGCCACGGGCGAGTGCGTCGCAACGCTCCAGCATGGTAATGATCCCTGGGATCCGGATGGGGTGTGGCGCGGCGTCTTCTCTTGTTTTCTTGAGTGTGTGTGTTATCTTTCTGGCTTTTAGGTCAACTGCGTCGCCGTCTTCCCCGACGGCCGGCGCGTCGTCTCCGGGGCGGACGACTGGACGGTCATGGTTTGGGACGCGGCCACGGGCGAGTGCGTCGCGACGCTGAATACTGGGCATCGGGATGAGGTGTAGTGCGGCGTCCTCGTTCTTTCGGGTGTGATCTTCCTGGCTTTAAGGTCAACTGCGTCGCCGTCTCCCCCGACGGCCGGCGCGTCGTCTCCGGGTCGGCCGACGAGACGGTCAAGGTGTGCGACGCGGCCACGGGCGAGTGCGTCGCGACGCTGGCCGGGCATTCGAAAGGGGTGTGGCGCGGCGTCTTCTCTGTTTTTCTTGTGTGTGTGTGATCTTCCTGGCTTTTAGGTCTACGGCGTCGCCTTCTTCCCCGACGGCCGGCGCGTCGTCTCCGAGTCGGGCAAGACGGTCAAGGTGTGGGACGCGGTCACGGGCGAGTGCGTCGCGACGCTGGCCGGGCATTCGAGTACGGTGTGGCGCGGCGTCTTCTCTGCTGTTTTTCTTGTGTGTGTGTGATCTTCCTGGCTTTTAGGGCGTCGCCGTCTTCCCCGACGGCCGGCGCGTCGTCTCCGGGTCGCTCGACAACACGGTCAAGGTGTGGGACGCGGCCACGGGCGAGGGCGTCGCGACGCTGCGCGGACATTCGGATGAGGTGTAGCGCGGCGTCCTCGTTCTTTCGGGTGTGATCTCCTCTGGCTTTTAGGTCAACTGCGTCGCCGTCTTCCCCGACGGCCGGCGCGTCGTCTCCGGGTCGAAGGACAAGACGGTCAAGGTGTGGGACGCGGCCACGGGCGAGTGCGTCGCGACGCTGGCCGGGCATTCGGGGGAGGTGTGGCGCGGCGTCTTCTCTTTTTTTTTCTCCGTGTGATCTTTCGTCTTTAGGTCAACTGCCTCGCCATCTTCCCCAACGGCCGGCGCGTCGTCTCCGGGGCGGACGACAAGACGGTCAAGGTGTGGGGCTGCTGAGGTAGGCTGGAGTTATGCTGGCTAGCCGCGGCGGGATATATCGCGCTCGGGCGCTCGCCGGGCGACCCCGAGGAGCGACGGAGGGGGCGCGAGTTACACGATGTTGACCAAGTTATTGAAGGGGGTGCGCACCCGAAGACCCCGCCCGGAGGCTCAGACGGAGGCGTAGCCGGGGGGTTGGCGTTCCCACACCGGCCCCTTCCTCCGACCCAAAGATCGCGCGTGCACTCGGATCGGAGGTGTGGCGGCGGTACACTCGCGCCAAGCCTGGCACCGACCGCCACGCCGAGAGCACGCCGGGATTGGCGCAAGGCAGTAGCATCCTGAGTCGCCTCATTCAGACGACACTCAACGGACTCTCCGTGGACCGGGGGAGGTTGAGAACGAAGGCACCCGCACCCGACGGGCAGGACGTCCGGCTCGACTAGGCCGATTCAACCTCAGGACCACAAGTGGCTAGCCGAGGGCACCGCCGAAGAGGACACCCGTAGTCAGCGGGACCGAAGAGAGCAAAGACGCCGACGCCGACGGAACCGCACAGAGCGCCACGCTACGAGGAGACGCTGCAGAATGCAGAGAAACGAATGGACACGGGCACATCGAAGCCCGCACACCGAAGCCACCGAGGGCGCCGACCCCACCAGCTCCCTCCGAGACTCACGTCGAAGGCATCCGAACGAAGCGAGCGCGCGCGGCAGCCCCCCGGGCCCATGGGCGACGTCGCGCCGATGGCCAAGCCCTGCAAGTCCTCGCGCTCGGCGCCCCGCTGCCCAATCGACGCGCGCAGCGGGGTGCTCCGCCCCGGGCGCCCACCGGAGCCGACGCGGCGGGCCCCACCACCGGCCGCTGCGCGAAACCACCTCCGCGCACCCCGGAGGACCGCCCCATAAGCTTCGGCGTTATCATGTTGAGATGTTGATGTTGCTGGGCAAGGGCAGCCTCTTGCGAAAGCTCACTTTTGACTGCGGCAAAAACGCGATGGACGACCATGATTCGCGCGTCGACGCCGTCTTTCACAAGCACGACCGTGATCGCTCCGGCACGATGGACGCCGCGGAGCTCCGCGCAGCGCTCGACGAACTAAACGCACTCCCTTCGTCGAACCAGGCCGCCTTCGTCGCCTCGCTCATGGCGCGCTGCGACGACGTCGACGGCGACCGATCCACTTTAACATTGATCGAGTTCAGAACGCTCTTCGACCTCGGCCGCGTGCGCGAAGCCTTCGAGGCCGTCGACCTCGACGGCTCGGGCGTCATCGACAAGTTCGAGATGGCGCGCGCGCTGCGGCGGCTCGGCGCGACGTCGGCGACGCTCGACGACGCGGAGCGCATGCTGCGGTCCGTGGACAAGGGCGGCGACGGCACGGTGGACATGCGCGAATTCGAGGAGGCCTTCGAGTTCGTGCCGCTCGCCTCGCTCGAGTCCATCGCGGAGCGCTGGTCCGAGTTCGACTCGCTGCCGGAGCTCGGCAACGACCTCGGGTCCGCGACGAAGCCCGTGCCCGGCCTCAAGTACTGGCAGACGATTGTGGCCGGCGGCACGGCGGGCGTCGCCTCGCGGACGCTGACCGCGCCCCTGGAGCGCGTCAAGCTCGCGGCGCAGACGGGCACGAGCGCGCGCGGCGTGCTCGGCGAGTTTTCGGCCATTTTGAGGACCGAGGGCGCGCGCGGCCTCTTCGCGGGCAACCTCGCCAACTCGCTGCGCGTGTTCCCGACGGCGGCGATCACGTGCACGACCTACATCAACCTGTTGTCTCTGACGCCCGCGGACGACGAGTTCGACGCGCGCGAGCCGCTCTACCGCTCCGCGTGCGCGGGCGCCGCGGCCCTCGTCGGCAACGTGTTGACGTACCCGCTCGACGTGATCAGGGCGAGGCTGACGGTCTCTGGCGGCGCGTCGTTCGGCTCCGTCATCGCGTCCCTGCGCTCCGAGGGGGCGTTCCTCTCCACGTTCTACCGCGGGCTCGGGCCGACGCTCGCCGCCGTCGTGCCCTTCGTCGCCGCACGAACCAGCGCCATCACAGCGGGGCCGCGAGGAACCCGTCGGACGTAGGTACAAAACAGCGTCATCGACGCGGGCCGATCGCTCCACAGCGCCCGCGACGCGGAGCCGCCGTCCTACGCGAAGCTCTGCCTCATCGGCGCGGCCGCGGGCGTCGCGGCGCAGACCGTGACGTACCCGCTCGACGTGCTGCGGAGGAGGCTCCAGATCGGGCAGCTCGCGAACGACGGCGTCGTCGGCGACCGCACCTGGCTCAGCGTCGCGCGCGCCATGAGCGACGGCGGCTTCCGGTCCCTCTTCGCGGGCATCGTGCCCACCTACGCCAAGACGATCCCCGCCGTCGCGACGGTGTCCTGCGTCTGCGTCTCCATGAACACGCACTTCAAGAAGCGAAACGCCGCCGCGTAATTTCCTCTGTTTGTGAGCGCCGGGCGCGAAGTCGCGCGCACGCGACGCGTCGCGAAGTCGCGCGCACGCGACGCGTCGCCGCGCGGGCCACGCAGCCGCGATTCAACGACGACCTCAACCAGCCCGATATCGATGGCTGTTCAAATGAGGCAGCCCCCGATGGCAGCTCCTCAAACGCGCGACGGCTTGCTCGCGCCCAAGACCCTCGAGGCCGCACTCGCGCTCCGGGAGGACGACGCCGCCTTGGGTAGCCCCTGGTTGCGCCTGGAGCGCGTCCGCACGGCCGAAACGCAGCAGAAAGCGCTCCTCGACGCGTGCTGCGCCTACCGATTCAAGGAGGCCGACGCGGAGGTCGCGTTGAGCAACGGTGCGTGGATCGACGGGGACCCGCTCTGCGACGTGGCGAACGCGCTGCCCTGCGTGTGCGCCCACGGCTACGACGCGGCCAACAGTTTCGAGATCGTCAAGTGGCTCAGCGAGCGCGGCGCGCGGCTCGACGAGCCCGACTGGGGGCGCAAGCTCACGCCGCTGCACCACCTCGCGCTCCGGCACGAGTACGGCTTCGGCGAGAAGGAGGTGTCCGTCGTGGACATCATGCAGTGGTTCCTGGACCGCGGGGCGGACGCGTCCGTCGTGGACGCGTTCGGGCGGACGCCGCTCCACTACGCGTTGGGCACCGTGCTCGCGGCGGAGGTCTTCCCCCCGACGCGCACGGCCGTGGAGCGCATCATCGACGAAG